GGTTTTGTTTTTAAATACTACGTAAAATCCTTCAGTTTTTCAAGAGAACTCTTCCTCTCGCATTAACGGGGTCCAGACAAAAACAGGTCAGAAGCCATTTAAACGAATGTAGTACTGTAGTCACAGGTAATACCCCCATCTAGTGGGCAAACCGGATGTTAACAGTACTCCGACATACCGCGTTTGTTCAATTAGTGTCCTCTTAAAAGTTCAAAACCTGCAGTGTAGTTCTAGGAAACCATAAAAACGTTGACTACTGTTACTGTTTAGTAGCAGTAGAACCATTGATCGTGACTTATTACTTTAACAAAAGTTATATAAAGTTATTTTTTTATCAAAGATTGCTTGTATCAAAAGGGATTGTTTTACTTAAAATCTAAAAATCCCAGAAATAATAGACACTAGCATGTATACTTCTTAATAAATCTGAAGTAGTTCACCAGACTCTTAAGGAACAAGAGAGGTATAGTGATGCCGACCCAGCGTGTTCTTGAAGAAGAAACCCTGGCATTGTCTCAACCAATCTCTGAATGAAAATGTTAAATCAATGTGATACTAAATAGCACACGATTTAGATGGGCTCAGATGGCTTCCTCTTATTTGTGAACAGTCTTATATTCCAAAACTTTGAATATTGAACATTAAACACACAAGGTAGATAGATATTTCATTGAAGATCTAAGCAAGGTGTAACATTTAGGCAAGAAATCCTGCGTTAGAAATCTAAAATAATAATAATGAATGACATGCCTTTAGTAAAACATGAAAAAATAACAGAAAATATATAACGTTTAGAACTGAAGAGCTATAATTCAGAGAACTAATGTGAACCTCCATTGTTGTTGTTGTTGTTGTTGTTGTTGTTGTTTACATCCTCAGGGACACGAGAAGCTGTATCCAGTTGTCTGGTGCATTGGTTTTCAATGGTGTCCCCCTGGTCCCCCTGGGTTTGTAATCTAATGGATTTTCACATGTCTTGCCTGTCTTGGTGGTCAGTGCTCATCCCTTTTCCAGTGAGCACTGCCAGGGCTTAGACGTGACCTGATGTGGAAAGCTCATGTCCTTTTCAGCGCTTATGAAACACTAGCCTTTCCTTACGATAAATAAGCAAATGGAGTCCAAAATGTATTGCACCAATTCCGTACAAAATGTCTTTGAAATGCAATGGCTACCAGACATGGTCAGTTGCATAGAGGAGCAGAATGGCTTCCCTCCATTTGTCACCTTTCATAAATAATTGTAGCTTTGATTTTGTAGTTGTGTTCATCTAGCCACCTACACCTTTGAACACTTCGTTCACATTTGAAGAATGACCAGATCTTCCCAATTTGAGATGAAAATAGTTAATCTAGTCACAAGAGCCACAAGCAGACCCAAACATTTTGTAATTAATATGTAAGACGTTTACATCATGTGATGTCAAGATCTGAAGACAGCAGCATACATTTCTTGAATGAAAACATATTGTTGAACCAGAAAGGCTATGAAATCCTTTTTCTTTAATTGAATGTGCTTCTGATTCTTTGTCCCCAGGCACATGGATCTTTATTTCTGGGCAGAATCCAACCCATCGCTTGATGGATTTCATATGTGATGTCATTTTGATAGTTCAAGAAAAGTTAATTTAAAAAAAGGGGCGTCAGGCTATTTTAGTGGTCTGCAGGATAATAAATACATTAGCAATGGCAAATGAGAAAACATTCTATTTTTTTAGAATTAAGTGGCTCATCTTTCTTTATAGAGGTCAAGGGTAATGGAAGTTAGAACAAAGCCCACTAAGTAAAGTAATTTGGGCTGGTCTTGAAACTGTTAATTGAGAAGTTACATTTCCAAACAATTTTAAATTGCTATTAGATAGAATTTCTATGTACCTGGTATTGTTTGTTTTTTCACTCACATGTCTATCTCTCTGCTTCTCCCGTCCCACAGAAATGAAAAATGCTTCACTTGATTAAAAATTTACATTTGCATTTTATTGTCAGTCAGTATTAGTGAAAGAAAATCAAATGCTGCAAGTTCAATAATATTTTGTTTGGCCTATGATCATGAACATAAATACATTTCAAAGACATTATTCATCCAAACATCCATGTACTAACCACTTTATCTAATATAGCGCCACAGAAAAACTGGTCTCGTGTGTTACAAAATCTGAGACTAGCACATCTTGTGAGTGAAACATTTACACACACATTGTCCAGATAATTAGTGAACACTTTGATTGGTAGTATAATGGCGAGACTACTAAACATATAATCAAATCATTGCCTTGAGAGACCTTAATTCCCTTACATGTGCGTATCCACAAAATATGATGTGTCCATGCAGTCTTGTCTCTCATGATTGTTTCTTTTTTACTTCAGACTTTGATTCCTAAATGTCATATCATCACCGCATCCATCCTAGAGAGCTGTGCATCAGCAACTGTGGCTTTGTCATCCTGGATTGAACACGGACTGGTATTTTGCAAAACGTCTGAGCTGGAATTGAACTTTTAGGAGTATGCTGACTTTCTCTGCTCCTCTCTGTGAAATACTGTTTTCTGAAAAAATGACGCAGTGGATGTGTATCTTTTAAAAAGCCTTTTAAATGCCTCTAGGTTATATATATACAGTATGAATAATAATTTGTCACACCCAAGAGTCTGAGAAGTATTTTATATATATATATGTGGAGGCTCTTGCCCTGTTGTTAAACAAGTAAACAAATGAATAATGAGATGCAGATGTATGCATGCAAGGCAACAGCATCACTACCTTGTGTCATGATGTCTTCTGATCTCAGAAGCTGTGTAAGGCTTGGTCTTGTCAGTACTGGGACGGAAGACCTCAAAGGAAAACTAGACTGTTGCTGGAACTGATGCTGGTGAGCTACTTTGAGACATAGTCTTGATATAAGTATCAATACTAGAATTTCCTAAGCAAGGGTTGAGTATAGGGGACACTGTGCTGTAATTGCCATCCTGCAGATGAGATATTAAAGATCCTGACTACTTGGTTACTGTTTGTAACAGTAGTAGTGTTAAGCCTGGTGTATTTGTGAACTTCCACTGCAGACGTATTACAGTCTGGCCTTCCTAAAGTTTCCCCTTAATTCAACTGGATAAATGTCTCACTTCTCTTTCTGCTGGTGCAAACAAATAGCTACTGTGTGTCACCCAGGTAGGGCTGTACTTCACTGGTGAATGAGAGAGTCTCCTTCTATATGTAAAACACTTTGTGATGCTTTAGAGTGGAAAGCGCTATACAATATAACATTATTAAGAAATTAGCTACCGAAATTCAGTGGTTTAATTTACACAATGGCTGGTATTTAGCCAAAATAAGTTGTATGTATTTGGATTAGCCTTTCTGATTTAAAAAAAAAAAATAGCATACTTATAAATGACTTCCTTGAAGAAATTGAACAAAAAAAACGTTTTATGATTTTGTTAATCGAATGTGGGCTTTGTTGATTCTTTTTCATGGATGTAATTTTTTGAGACTGTGTACCAAATACACACTGCTTAAGGGTAGAGACTCCGGGGTTTGTGAGAGAGCACTTTGCTATTTATTGGACTTTGAATTACAGAGTCCATTTCAAAACCAAGAAGTACAAAAAAAAATTTTCGCAGGAGAAAAAACAATTTCCAAGAAGCCAAGTAATCAGCTAAAAAAGAAGTTGAGAGGAAAAAAATGCTTGTCATCCCTCATACTGAGATTCAACCCTGAAATTACATTTACTGTAATTTATACCTCCATTTCTGTGCGTATAACTGAAGGTATTTCATAGGACTTTCATTTAATCTTATTTAAGCTGTCGTTTTGTTGTTTAAATTTCACTTTATAACCAATTGTAGAAATGGAAAGACTTACGGTTTTGTTTGGTGTCTTTGGCAGAGGGCACATTTTCTAACTTTGTCAAGTAAGAATCCGTCATTGATCTGTCAGATTAAAAGAGTGACCCCTGAACTGTGTGTTCAAGACCGCTCTAACAAACCTCATTCCTTCTGATCGCAAGCTTTGAACTAAAGCTGTAAAAATATATAATTGAACATATGCACTACATTGATAAAACAGTGAGGCTTTTTTTAGAAGTAACTTCAATTTAATTTTGTTTTTGGTTTGTTGATTTAATTTTTAAAGATGATTTCAGTTTAAATCCTCTACAGTAGGACTTACAGTACCAAGTGTACTGTATGTAACACTCATTAGGAACTTAAGTAGAAGTGATTACATTGTCAGAGTAGTGTGCAAAATGAATAGTTTATACAGCAACAACAGGTTTTCTGCCATGACTAATTGGTTTGCAGCAAAAGCATACACTGCTGACTACAAAGGGACTTTGAAGACACAAAAAGTAAGGGCTAATCACCAAAACGTTAACACCATTATATCTGTCAGAGTTCAATCTTCTCTTTTCCTCTGTTAGGCAAAAATTCCTCTTATCCCAGTGAAGAGATGAACTGGTACAGTAGTTATAAAACTCTTATTTTAATGACATCAGGAGCCCTCAGTCCTCACAACAGCAAGATACTGCCCCGTTTGATTAGACACAGATCAGCTCTCTAACTAGATCCTTAGCATGTCTCATGTCTTTTGCCAACCAATCACCATCTGCTCTGTACAGAAAATTACCAAAACATATTCTTGTACATTAAATAATCATTTCCGAGGGCTAGATAGATTACAACATTATTTGGCAAGTTTAAAACTTCCAGAAAAGAAGAAAGCTTGTCATTTAGCATTTTTTGTGTCATTGATGTAATTTATCAGAAGACACAGCATGATGCATCTGGTTTTGCAAGTGGAATAATTCACACATTGTTCCACGAAGACCACAGCGATCACAACAACATTCATTCTGACTCTTTGCATTCATTCCTTAGCTGGCAGACACAAAAAAAATCTTTGCTGCTCTACTTCACACCACTGATTGCAAGCAGAATTCTGACAACTGGCAGAAAGTCTACCGTATTACTGGAACAGTGAAGCCAAATCACATTTTGTAAATACTTACAGTAGGATTGCAATGTTTTATTTTTAGCAAGTAGCACAACCTGCTACAGTATTTACAGTACTTATGAGCCAGAATGGAAGCTTGCAAGCTGACTGTGGATCTACAGTAGCTAGAACTCCCAGACAGACTTTAACACCCGTTGTTGTGCACTCGCGCAAAGACATCAGCTCTCCGGCTGCCGTAATGACCCAGCCCAGTGTGCTTTCAGTAACCCACTCAGGCAAAAAGGAAAAGGAGCCACCTGCATCGGCCCCCTTCATGCAAAGTACAACATGGCAAGGAAAGAGGGCAGAATTTAAGCCAAGCAGCACATCCGCAGCAGGATTCCACTTTTTTAAGTTCTAGAGTCTGAGATTTCAGCTTTCCGCTTTAGTATACACTCAACGTATTTCTCACAGTCTTCTTCAGACGAGTCCTTGTATCCTTGCCCTCCAGCAGGAAGCACCTACTCTACATGAATATGAGCATTTTCTTCACAATGAAATTTGTTGTTTAACTAATCCTGAAACATAGCAGCAACATCACAGGCCTTAAACAAATTAGTCCCTTTCCCATATTAGGACTGAATTATCACTGTTACAACGTGCCTTGTCTTTATTCCATTTTCCCATTTTGTTTTCATTGTTGTACATTTAATACTTCTTTCAGCTGTTACAGAATCAAATGTTATTTCCAACACGCATATACTATTGTACTTTTTTTTTCCATTTTCCAGTTAGATAAACCAAAATGATCTGTAAAATAGAAAATACTTCATACTTCGTAAGGCGCTCATATTCTCAGTGCCCACCCCCAAACTCCCACGCATGCCCTGTAATTTTCTCTTCATATTTTTCATTTCAACCCCTCAGTTAAAGTCCTAAGTAAGAAAATGAATGAATTGATTTTACTGAAATCCAAAATAAAAACAACTAAACTGACCGAGTCATTTCCATGCCCTCAGTTGCAATGTACAAGGAGGCCTGTGGGGGGGGGCTGTGCGATGTGATACAGTGAGGATTGCTTTGGTTTCCCACACTAAAGCCATTAAGACAAGATTAGAATCTCAAAGCAAATTCACAGATAAAATGTGTGTTTTTTTAAATGGCACTTTGCAATTTTGTAGATGCCATTTGTTTTCTTGGAAACAATTTCTAAGCAATGTCTTTTTTTCAAACTTCATGAAATAATTGAGCAAAAGTGGTATAATAACTGGTCCCATTATCTCAAAAGCATGATGGTCTATCAACTACTAGGAACAGTTAATACATTAAAATAGCTCACAAATGGGAATAAATGAGCTTTGCTGCTCCAATTATGACCTCTGGAAATGTTAGGCCTTTATAATTTGATAAGAGTGTATATTATGAAACACAAGAGAACACTAAAAGGAAGTACCGTAATAAATGGTACTCACACCAGATGATCTAGACTCTTGAAAATAGCTCAAAGCACTAGAATGAAATGTCTAAGCAAGGTATGAATAAAAGTTTACTAACATGAAGCTGAATATGGAGTTCACCCATTGATTCAGGGTCACAGGAGAGCTGGTGCCTATCCCAGCAAACTAAAGGGCACGAATCAGGATACACGCTAGATGGGCTGCCAAGCCATCACAGGGCAGGCAGAAACGCTCACACTCAAACCTATGGCCAGTTTTCCCAGAAGCCAGTTACCCTGACAATATGTTTTTGGCTTGTGAGAGGAAACCGAAGCACCCAGAGGAAACCTACGTGAACATGGGGAAAACATACAAACTCCATGCCGGTAGCGACCCAGGTCCAGAATCTAAGCCAGGGACTCAGCACTGCGAGGCAGCAATGCTGACCAAAGTGGCATGTCTGCAAGAAAAACGGCCAACAGAGAAATGTGACAAAGGAACAAGGCATACAGACGGGAAGGATCCACTCAAATTCCGCAGCAGGAATTTTCTTGCGTACTCTGCGCTTAAAAATGATTGTATAAAAACAAGGAGATAGTCCATTTTCATGTACATTTACAGTACTTTGGAACTGAGAAGAAAATTAAAAATGAAGAGTAAAATGAGATCATAGGATGCATGTTTTATCCCCACAGGAGCTGACTTTGGTGTTTGCTGCAAAATGCACAAACTCTACTGTACGTTACAGAATTTTATAAAGGAGAGAACTAAAATCTCTACTCGTCTTTGCTTTACTTGATAACCTGCCAGTTCCAAATGTCCAGTGGAGCAAAACGTATTCATCCTCTGCAGTTTGAGTCTTAAACAGGAAAAGGACAAAAAAGAAGGCCAAGGAGAACTGTACGTTGCAGGAATACTGCACGGTCCAGACGAAGGGATCTCTGGTTAAAAACGTGCAGATGAATCCAGCCATCATGGGTAGACTCATCTGCCTACCTTATTTCCATGTATGTAAAATCTGTAAAACAGAAAACTCCCGTGAGAATCCTCATTGTTGTGTCATTACAAAGACATAACAAGCTGGTCAGGTAAAAGACAATTAACACACAGAGAAAAATGGCGGAACAAATTCAAGGGGCACATGACCACTTTGTCAATAACATTGCAAGGCTGGAAACATAAATTTAAAGTTTATTTCTCACCACCAGTCATAATTGAAACCTGTCCTCCTTTTTTTTTACAGTCATTATAACACAATTTACTATTGGGATTCCCTGAAAAGCTGATTTTCTTTATTGCTTAGAGCCAATCAAACAGTTAAAAACTTGATGTTGTATCACAGTATTCTAGAACTTCTTCACAACTTAAAATATGTTTGTTTCTAAGTGACTGGCTTCCACCTTCACTGCACACGTCAAAAGCTGAAAAAGAAGGAGAATACTTTATAAAGTTAGATTTTGAAGACATATCTATAATAAATACACCTCACCCACTACTTACCACTATGGAATGTCCTTGTGATTAAATAGTTATGACATATTAAATGCAGTCAAAGTCCCCATGTCCCCTGCCTTCAGTTATAACCAAAACCTGTTTTTATTTCTCCCAGTAACTCCATTTCAGGTGAGAAAAGGCATTTCCTTTCATTTAAAACAAAACAGTAGAATACCAAGGGAATTAATAACCAAGGTTTAAGATTCACAGCAGTAAAAGCATTTTTTAATTCTTCAGAATGAAAGAGGGAAGTGAAAAATGCAGTGTGCCTGGCACCTGGAGGGCAAGGGGGTGCAGGGGTGTTCAGGATACGTACTGACCGTTGGCTTGCAAGTTCACGTAATTTATCTTCATTTGAGCCTGGGAAGTTCAATTACATGAAGAAATTTTGGAGCGGCGAATGGATTTTAAGCTTTGCAGTGCATTAATGATTTGGTGATTTAATGATTTACTGCCAGAGCACCTACAGAGACTGAAGTCACGTTAACAAGGGGCTCTTGCAATGTATGGTTGTATTATACTATGGCAAAGCGGCAGCCTAATTTCTTGTACCTGTGTTTTTAGTATAAGAGATGTCAACACTACCTGGGGGTTGTATTATTTATTTGCCTCTTCTCTTTCATAAATATATAATGAAAAGAGCTCTAAACACGTTTAAAGCAAACAAAACATGTTCTCTTTTTTGTCTTTAACACAGAGGAATCTCAAATGGAAAGTACAAACTTCTGAGAGCGACTGAAGTATCTAATAAAAAACACAGCCATTCTCTCCCCCCCCATGACTCAATTTTGTTACCTGCATTATAAAGCCCCAAGTAGTCTGAAGGAGGTTTTTCGGATGATTTTTTCATTTTCTGGTATATATTTTTTAGAAGCACAAAAAAAATGAAAGGGGAGTACAAGGGGGATTGTTTATTGTGCAATTATGAAAGGTTTATGAGAAAGAGCTTTGTGTTCAGCTGTGGTATCATGAATGACAGTTGCTGAGAAAAAAAAGAGATTAAAGATATCTTTAAAGATACCTTACCTTACTTCTTAACTTATTTTTATTGAAAATATTGCCATATAGTTACTGCATGAGTGAAAAGAGACCTTTAATGCACTATAGGATTTAAATCAGAGATATGTTCTTAAAGAGGAAATCACAGCATTCTGTGAACAGGCAAATTAACTGCATGGATACAGAATTTTTTCAGACTAAAGTTTAAATTATATAATGTATGAAGCATTCGTCCATATGCTTTTGGCCATGGGTAAAAAAGGACCCTTTGTATTTCTTTACAGATACATATTAACTCAGTTATACAGTAAGAATTACAAAAATGTATCGCTTTCACATTTTACGGTATGTCCAGATTACCAGACACTCAAGACAGATCCTGTAATTTGACTTACTCTCTCTTTGTGTATGTACAGTCCAGAGGCATTAACTTGTATGTTTCTTCTCCTTCTACAGTAGATGTTTATGTCAAGATCAAAACACTAACAAGTCGCGCATGTCTACAGACAATAGCTAGTGAGTGCCTTTTCACCTATAGACTACAGCTACTGACCTGGGGACAGCTGAGCTTTGCACTAAGCAAGTATGCCAATACTTAAAAAAATAATAAAATAACATTTTATTTAAGAGCAGCAAGGATGCTGTATAACAAATTACAATTTGCATTCCATGTTGCCCACTTGACATAGGAACATTAGAAAGCTGTTTGGCACATCTAGCTTGTTTGGTTTGTTTTAATTTATCTGAGGATTTTATCCACCTGTTTCTAGAAAGAAGACAATACCAGTTTCTTTCATCGCTGTATACTGTACAAACTAAGTTTTTTTTTTAAGTCAAAGAATTCAGGTTCACATTTTCTTAACATTACAAAGCATTTGGAGGCAAAGTGTTGTTTCAGAATCTTAATATTAATTACAGTACCGAATATCGGTGCAACCTGTAAAAGATAAGCATCCAGTTCTCATTCTTTCACTTTCTCTACATCATCCCAGAAAGACTGAATCAATAGGCTACCAATCCAAAAGACCTTGAAAGCTTGATTGGTGAAAAGGATTTAAACTTTGGTTTAAGGTTGCCAGATTTATACTAACTAGTGATCCAATGCACCCCGGGCCCAGTTATCCAGAGCCTATCCCAGCAAAGCAGGTATGCACAGGACGCCAGTCCATCACAGGCTCACACAGACTCAAACACAGAAACTCACACCTTGGGCCAGTTTTCCTAGCAGCCATTTAACCTACAAGTATTTTTATGAAATGTTGAAGAAAACAGAAGCACCCAGAGAAAATCCACACAATCAGAGGAAGCACATGTTAGTTCCATACAGATCGCACCCCGGATCAGGAACTGAACCCTGGACCCCAGCAATGCTAACTACTGCACCATAGTGCCAACCCTGGCCGAGTTGGCTATATACAAGCTGTGTTGTGTATTCCCATTCACACCAGCTAATACAGTACTGAATGTGGGAAATGAATCATATTTCTGAATTATCTATTTTGTACAAAGCCCCAAAAAGGGCACTAATAATTAAGCAGGGCTTCGATAATTTGCCCTTTTTACAAGACGAATAATCAATACCAACTGATCCTATGGATATAAGACCCACATTGTTCCAGCCCTGCCCTTAAAAATACTAACTTTAACTCAAGCTTGGAAACATTTCCAAACTGTAGGTGGCCAATATTTTGGGGAACTATTTTCCCTGCCAAGATTAATGTTTCAAGTTCTTATTTAAATAGTGCAACCACTGCTGGAATAAAATGTGCTTAAGTTGGGAAAAATAATGTAATGCACAATTTAGAAATTGACCATTTTAAAGCAGCTTTTTAAAATTCAACTGATACAGTATACTGTACCATCAAATTCAACTACAAACTTCTCATTAAACCATTGAAACCAGTAGACTCCTTACATTGGTGCAAACTCATAATTACTTTTTTTATTTGTTGTGTGCTTTAAGCATTAAGGCAGTTTCCCTGAATTACAGCAGTAGACTTCAACTGGTATTGTCCAAAATAAGTTAGTCCAGCTGATATGTGTGCAGGATAGTAAGTTTTGATTGAGGAATAATTAAGGGTTACTCATAAATTATTATTTTCTTACTGTTTGAGGTGAGTTTTTTTGAGAGTGGAAATTCTTCAGTGACTAATAGACTGTCTGGAAGAACTAAGAAGGGGACTTACCCACACAATCAAAAACAACCAAGACATCTGACAGACCAGCATGCAGCAAAACCACAGGTTTTATTCTATGCAAAGTTTGTCTAATTGTTTTCTGATTAGCAATGAAACAGTCCTGACTCCATGTTGCTGGGACCACGCTTCTGTATGTGCAATGTGTAAAGTACAGTACAGTATGCATGTGCTTTTCATAAATTCGACACCTCGCCTTATACTTTACTCCACAGTCACACAGGAACACAGAGGGATTCCAGAGATAAATCCACCTGCCAAACCGGGCTTCCCTTCATTCACCTGCTGCTTCAGTTTCTTTATGAGTCATATTCGATGACTTATCAATGAACTTTATGACAGAGCTGCCCTTTTCTGTTACTTTCCCTAAAATGGTCTTAATCTAGCAAGAGCACCCCAATTTCTGTAAAAACTGTTAATCTGGGAATCACCAATCTGGGAAATGTGAAATTAAATACTATCACGGATGTCGGAAGGGACAAACCGTGGAATGGCAGGAGAGCGAGAAAGACCCTATGCGTAGCGGCGAGACGGGGGTTTGCCCGGGCTCAGCTGTTCAGGAAATGCCGTATAGAAACCTATGCCCTCAGGTATCAGACATGGGGCGACCTGGTGCTAGGCGGGTTTCAGGACATCCGAATATCGATGCTGAGCGAGGAGCAGAGCAGAGGCAGGAAGTAAATAGGCTACACAACAAGACACACCAGAAAGACATGAATAATTGCAGGGAACTAGGAACAGGAGAAAAGAAGAGCACCCTCTAGGTGTACTGGGCATGACAATACTGTAGCATAAAACATAAGAAAGGTTAAAAACAAGGGGATAACTTTTTTCCCACCTTGTTCTTGATTACTACTGGCTCAGTTATTAAAAGACACTCCTAATTCTCGAAGGATCTCAAGGTTTCAACTTTAACATTGTGTCTGGGTGGTATTTCTTTACCCAACAACAATCATTCTTTGTTCAAAGAAACACACCCTCTTTTGGGAAATGAACTACCCCACAGATGAAAACCCCTTGAAACTCTCACTGGAAAGAATCCATTTAGAGCAGCAGCCCCTAGCATGCATGTCTCTGAAAAGTGGAAGGAAAACCACCCAGTAAAATCCATGCAAATATAGGCACAAGCAGCAAGCTCATGATTTCTTACTGTGAGGCAGTGTGGCTAACCACAATGCCACCATACCTCCCTGCAACACATTTTCTTCAATCTGTCTTGAGCCTATATACTGTGTACTTATTTATTCAAACATCACTGTACTGTACATGTTGCTGCTGGTTTCTTTCAAGAAATGGCTAAATGAGATTAAAGATCCATGAGGCGGCAGTGCCAAAGGAGACACCATCTTGACACCCTGAAATCCACCTTTTGAAAAAAAAAGCCTTAATTCACTTGGCTTTTGTTTTTCTGAGCAAGGAAAGCATATAAATGAACTGCAAAATCTCACTTTCAGAAGAAATGGGGAAACTTTCATGTCACCACAGACAAACAAGCCACAGTCTTGTGGAAACAATGTTTTTGACTAGTAAAGGGCTTCCAGATCCCTGCCTCACTATAAAAAAGGGAATTTCTTGACAGCAGTGCAGCAAATTTAAAAAAAAATGAGGTATAATTTTCATACTTCTAATATCAAGCAGCAAGCATATCTGAAGGTCCGTCAACAATTACTTCTTCAGCATGCACCATAAATTGCATTGAGCACTCACAATGTCTTACTGCAGAAATGATGTAATTCACATTGGCAGCTTCACCGCAGATCAGACTAGCTCAGGTCTAAATTGAAACCTAGATTAATACTAGTTTGAGGTGAGCATTCTGCTTGATAAGTGTCGTCTTCTTCTTGCAATATGATGACGGATTACAATCAGCAGCACTGATACTGATACACAACCTCACCTGTTTGACAGTGAATAATACTTTCTTCCAATGGGTATAGCGGTTTTCACCTCAAAGCACTTTACACACCTGTGACAGGGCCCCCAGGGAGTCACACCACATGGTAGATCAGGTAAAGAACTCAGAAGTTGCTTCAGTGATTGAACTAAGAAGGTACAGTACTAACTACCCAACCAGCTAGATGGGGTAAATCGTCTCCTCTCATTTACAACCTTTTGTACACTGTTCTTACTGAAAGGCAGGATTTGTAATTAATCAGATAATATACAGGTGTGGGGCAACACGGTGGCCCTGGATTCAATTCTAGACCTGGGATTCTATCTGTGTGGAGTTTGTATGTTTTCTCCATGTTCACATGGGTTTTCTCCAGGTGCTCTGGTTTCCTCTCACAGTCCAGAAACATACTGGTAGGTTAATTGGCTTCTGGGGAAAATGGCCCTGGTGTGAGTGTGTGCCTAACTGTGTTAGTGTGTCTGCCTTGTGACTGCTTCTGGGGAAAATGGCCCTGGTGTGAGTGTGAATGGCATCCTGTCCAGGGCGTAACCAGCCGTGCACCTGCTGCTTGCTGGGATAGACTCTGGCTCCCCCGTGACCCTGAATTGGATAAAACGGTTAGGAAATGGAAGAAGGGATATACACGTATGAAGAACACTAGAGGAAAGCCGAACAGAAAATATTCAGTGGTAAGAGGGATTATTGAATGTCACTTTCATTAGTGCGCTTAAATACATTCAGTGTTTTGCTGTGATTGCAATTTTACAAAAATTCCCCCCTGTGCTCAGAATATAACAAATGTAAGAGTCCTCTACATAACTGATTTTAAAACATGGGAGAGAGAGAAAAAACTCTTACCTTTCTGTTGGTTTCTGTCGTAAAGTACTGTTTTTTCCAAAGGATAAAGCAAGGGAACCATATTGTCTGGGGTGACTCTTCTGTAACAGTCAATGAGTTGGTCCAAGCTCTCAAAAAATTCTGGCTTCACTGTGGGAGGTGTCTAGAATTTTATTTCAAAGGAAAGAAAATGAATTACTGTAGGCACAGAAGAGTCATCACAACTCGTGCATGGACAATTCGGATAAGATTATAGGGAAAAAGACAAATGCAATTGTCATGACACTAATGATAAATACTACACACAAAAGGGGTTCGGAAAATCTTAATATAGGACATTAAAACATTTAAAATAAAATAAAAACTATGTATCTGAATACTATAAAAGTGTTGTTTTGTAAAGAGAAAAATTCACAAAACATTGTAATTTTTTTTTAGTATATAAATATCTGAGATGGCCGTATAAACAACATTCAGATAAAAATGAAAAACCAAAATAAGAAATATTTGGCTACACAACAATATATGATATATTATTCATTATATAAATATATTAATATAATTTAAATGTATATTAGGAACATTTTAATTCTTGCTGAAAGGCATTAAGGACAAATGAGCATTGGAACCAATAGGATTTGTGGTGTTTTTAAGACGTGCGCTGGCATATGTTCTTATATTGAAAAGATGCAGCACACATAAAATCCTCCTAAAATTGTGGAAGTGCATTTAAAACTGAGAACAGAAGGTTCTTTACCAAAAAGATTGCTGGAGTTTGGAATAAGCTATCCACCCATGTTGTTGAAGCCAAAACAGATGTTTCTTTCAAGAAACAGCAGGATGCGATCCTTTGATCAATAAACTACTAACTACCAAATGGTTCAGATGGACAAAATAACCTCCTCTCATTGGTAACCCTTCTTATGTCTTTATGTGCACTCATGAAAGAGTCAAAAGTGTGACTGTAGTTATTCATCAGAGAGATAAGATCAGTTAAAAATTATAAGGTCAAAGCATCACATGCAACAGAGGGAAATCAGTTCACTACCATTTGATCTGGTATTCTCAGGTGCCAACAGTTAAAAAAGAACCTGAAACAGTTTGTAATAACAGGATGTTTCACTTTTGCTGTGTGCCACTCATATCCAACATCTATTTAAAAACATATTCACCAAACATTAAGCAATCCACTTTATCTGTCCATCATTGTGATGTCTATATACAGTAGCAGCAAGAAGTATATTTGGGCGATACAGCTTAAACAGTATCAAAGTCGATGTTGATTTGGTGCATATCTGATTGAAAAATGAATTGTACTTGAAGCATTCCAGGTGTAGCTTTCTCTGCTAGGAATATCTGAAAGGAGCGTGTTGAAAATTCAACACATAGAACTGACACCTCCTAAAAACAGGGTGTAAGGGACATTGCAAGTGAATAATAGCTTATGGCTGGAGATGGAATCAAACACTTCTCTATGGTATGGGTTTCCATGGTGATGTTTATGATTCAGTGGAGAATGGGAAATGTACTTTTTTACACATAGTGCTTGGGAAGACTGCAACAGGAGGCACAGCCATGTTTTTGAAGCTGATATTCAGGTTTCTTTCAAGAATAGACTGGATAAGATCCTTGGATGCCTTATATATTCACACACCACATGGGCTGGATGGACTGAATGGCCTACTCTTGTTTGTAATCCACTTCTATCCAAAAGCAGTGAGACTGGCGAACACATTTAGCCATCCCCCTCAGACCACACCTACACCATCACCATCTACCTCATTGTAATTTAGAAATTATACGTCTCCAGTCATTGTTTACACGTCTGTATTGTTTACATTCAAACTGTCTGCATGTTTACTTGCACATTGTCTATTGTTTGTTTGTACATTGTCTTGATGCACTGTTTGCACTTTGTTTTGGTTTTTTTTACACTTGTTTTACAATCCAGAGACTTTCTGTAAGTAAGAATTCCATTGTACCAGCACCGGTTACATATGGCAATAAAGTTCAAGTCTTCAAGTCTAATCTTTCTTACATTCTTCTGGGACTGTAAAGTCTCTTACACAACCAAGTCCAGTATTTCTCCACCAGCGGTTGGGAAACACCTGGGAATCCTCAGAATTTGTCCAGGCGATCCCCACAAAGGGAAACTTTTCACCCCACATTCAGTAGCAAGTAAAATGAACATTCACACAGCTGATCTGACAGATCTTACACTTAGTCTGCAGTGGTGCCTTTCTCCTAATCAACCATATATGCATTCTTAGATATGCCAATTCAAACTGATACGGAGACTTAGCAAGAATGGTCTCTTGAAAAGACCTCAATGAGAGAGAAGAGACTGAGAATGCCTAACTTACATACAGTGAGTAAAAGAAACTTTAATCCCTTGAGCTACGAATTTTGAGTCTGTGTTCATGTGCATTTTGTGTAAAAAAGTAAGAATCCATAATTTCACATAACCTGGAAATGTCTTTGTATCTCTTTTGCTCTTACACACTGTGTAAGTCGCTGACCTCTTGCATGCTTCAAAAAAGTTTACTAAGCGACACCTAAAACCATATCATTTCAGAATGCAGTCACAAACAGCATGCCTAAACCACTTATTGCCTCTGACTTTAAAAACAGAGAGCATAGAATACGTCTGAAGTGACAGAAACTGAAGAATGTGTCACCTATTATATGCCCAGCATCGAGAGTGAGTTTTACAAAATGGAGAGCGTTCTTGTGCTTTTTCGATCATTAATGGATAACTCCTTTTCACACAGAAGGACAATGACTCATGCTGAAAATACATGTTTCGCAGATGAGGATAATCGCTTTAAAACAGTATTGAAAATGCCTTCGAAATACACCAGGCTGCGTATGGGTGGATAGCAAATACACGGTTTCACGCTTTTTTGTTAAGGCTTCATAAATAAATTCGTGCAGAAAAAGTTTCCACGCAAGGAAAGCCTTTTACTCCAATCCGAAATGAAAAAGAATAGCTACAGGCTTCAACAAATGAGTGGAATTGTTTTCTGTTTTGGTGATATTATTACTTACAGTGTGTTTCATGTTGATACATCATAGCGCACGGCCACATTGCTAGTGCTGAAAGACGAAAAAAAAAGACCTGACACCGCACCACACCCTCCCACATCCGCCCTATAGCATCTGAGATGTCTTCCCACGACCATCAGACGAATGTAAAATAAAAACATCTTTACTGCCGGCGGTTTCGTCTCGATAGCATCCGCGAGTACTTGTCTTTACAGCTGTCAGGCAATCCACTTCAAAACTCCAGCTTCCACCACCTTATCGTACACCAGATGTATAAAACAGAGCTTTTTCTTCTTCTGTTGACTTCAAAGAAACGAGTTATTCTAGATTCAAGAGTTTCCGGGTTTAAAAGAAATACTGAAGAAAACATTATACTTGTTGTTGATATAGAGTTATGATTTAGTATATCCTCATAATAAAAAATAAAAATACCTCCCGATTTTGTAATATTTCTGAAGCCTATTCAAACCTAAAAGTGAACATCACCATAATTGGAATTGGACAAATTCTAAGTTAAGAGTGAGAAAGATGGATTGCGAATACGGAGAAAAGAAGGGAGAGTATACACAGATCTGACGAAAAGAATAGCAAATACAGTACCTTAACAGCCCATTTCCCTGCAGATTTATAAATCCTGTATGTATGGACGAAGTTGCCCTTCCTGTAAGGAAATGGGAGAAACATAGATGTAAGAGAACACTGTATTTATATTTTAATAATTATCGGTATCTACAGTTAAAACAAGTAAACATTTATTTTTTTCCAATTCTTGAACTGTCAACCTACAGAAAGGTTGTTATAAATACTAAAATAAGATCATTTTCTTTAACCATTTTATAAATGTTTTTTGTTGCTAATAATAATAACGTTAGGGCATGAAAAAAACTAAATTGCCAGTTTTCTATACATACACAACACAATTGGTTAATTCTAAACTCAGAGTTATTTAAACTGATTGAATCTGACCTAATTGTGCAAACCGTAATTCTGCACATACCGCCACCTCCACACCCCTTTTAAAGAAATTAACACAATAACAAGCCAATACGTCATTTTCTGCAACTTTCTTTTACCCATTTCGGGAAATGAAAATATTTAGGCACTGTACATTTTTGGCTTCTTTGTAAAAATTATGCGTGTGCTAATATTTCAATGTCATATAATTACTTTTCTTTGTTGCCCTAATTTTGTACTATGTTGCTGTTTTTTTATTTATAATAAGCAGATACTAGAACGTCCACTGAAATCCTCGCAATATATCATCTCATTTTAATTTTCCTTATTACGTAAAGATGAAAAGATTGCAGACTCTAAAGGTTTTGCATTCCGAAAGTAGGTGCTGCAGCCGAGCATTTCCAGGGCACTTAGTTAAATAGAAGAAGAGTTGTGAAAATGCACTTTTTTCCCATTTTCATTCTTTATTGAATTGTCTGTTGACCTTTTCATTCCCTGTGGCTGTATCAAGGGTTCTAATGGGGGGAGAAATGGAATTTGAGTTTTTGATAATAAAATTTTCTCACTTGCCTTCGGCGACCTTTAGTTCAATTTCCTTTCCCCAGAGACACTGTACATTACAGAAGTGAATAAAATCATTTATTCATAGAAAGAGCCCCAATTTCATCAGAATATTCAGCATTTTTTTTTCCACGGTCAGCGTGATGGATGATATATTGAAATGCCTGTTGTTCGTGTAATGAAATAGTGGGAATAGGTTTGTATTGGAAAAACAATGAAGCTGATTCGACAGTTATATCCGTGTCAGCTCAGGGTACATTAAATAAAACCCAGAGATGCAAAAGTTTCTTCAGGTTATGCATATTAAGTGACTTTTGTTAAAATTCGGAAGCTGCATCTTTGTTCTGAGAGGGAACACCAAATAACTCAACCATCTTATACGAACTCTATACATCAAATTCAAACGAGACTTCTGTTACTTCCTATGAGGCTGCATGAAACATTTTTGAAATAAGCATTAAATAAGAAACTCATAATTATGTTATTTAAAGTAATTAGAATTTGGGACCTTAAGGTTTTTATATGATGTTATATATTTATAATATTATGTATCTTTTCACACATAATTAAACTTTTCGTGGCATTTACACTATGGTTAGTCATTTGTTGTATTTAAAGCGTCAGAACATGTCTGGATCGTTACAAATCACGGAAAAATATAACCTGTTTTGAAAATAGCTACAAATAACGGAAAATGAATCAGAGACAACCCAAGTGCTACTTAGCTTTAGACTTTGATTGCACCTGAACGACGGACTGAATGAAACTGGCATTATTCCATAATGTGGTAAATATTTGTCACGGAAATTAAGTTTTATTTTTATTTATTTTTTAAATAAGTTCAGTATTTAAGATGTCAGATAATCACATTTATTAAGTTGCTTAGTTCGAATTGCTGTCTGGTCATTTCAAATGCTCAGAAAATACACAACCCAGGCTACCTTTTTTTGCAAGTAAGCGCACTTACCGCACACAGAGACAAAAAGCTCCACGCACGCTTTCGCTGTCTCGGGCTAGAAAACTTCCATCTCTTCCATATATTTCTAGCAGTTTCTCTGTTTCGTCCTTACCAATTGTCCCGAAGTATATCGAACGAAACATTGCTTGAGCAACGAGCAATAATCCTCGTTTAGAGAAAATGAGGCGCCTTGTCGTAAAAAATTAAGAGCAAAGGAGAATCTGACCTGGCAAGTTTGAAACTCTTCTAACTTCCTGAGCCTACCAGACAATGACTGAACTAGATGAAAGCGTGAGGTTTTCACACTTCGTTCAAGGCTTGCAGTGTGATGATTTGAACCATCATGCTTTAAAATAAAATTGGTCACAGAGGCCCCCAGCAGAGCTGCACAAAGTTGGCGTAGTGTACTATACGTTTATGAAGTTTCTTAATTTGTTATACTTCAACCACGAATAAAATCAAGAAAATATTTTTTCCCTGAGTTTTTCTTTGTTTCGTGTATTGTATGATGTTATTCTTGTGTTCCAAGATCCCGGCTATTAGTATATTATTAGTATTTTAAATTTATTTCATTCCTACTAAGGAAAGGAAATAAGAAAAATAAAAAGTACTGTACTGTACATTATTCTTCAAATTCGATGTAACAACTGGCACTCCTGGGCCACCTAGTGCTCAAAAGATTTTTAAACCTAAAATCCCTTAATGAAAGTAGAAATTCATACAGTATGAATTGTGCCAACCCCAGAAATCATTTGTAGCTTTTTAAATGTAAATGTATGTGAGAATGCTTTACTAATATGACCTATGTACCCATGTAATGGGCATTTCACATCGTAAGGCCTCTAGAGGATCAGAAGAAGTTTGGAAAGTATAACAGTGTAAATAAAACATTCCTGCATATGATGGGTTTTTTTATTCTTTTATTTAAAACGTTAAGGTCTTTTGTCCCATAATTTAGGTCCTCATTGAACCGACTCCTGTCAGTCTTTGTAACTACAGCTTTCATGTGTATATTACAGGGATTATTCATCACTCCTAATGCTCAATGGCATTTTTTCAAAGACTGGCAAGAGACTGTTGAATGTGGTGCGTCTGGTGGAGTCATCTTCACATCTCAGCAAAGGTATGGGATAAAACACACTGTATGCAGTAGTCCGCAGTGTCACTCATGACGTGACCTGTCGTGGTGATGGGATCGTCTTTTTTTTTCTCTTGCTCTTGATCATTGATGATTCGCTGCTTATCGGATGGGACACAGGTTACTGTAGGGTTTCTCTGATATTATTCTAAAAGCAGATCAATTGGCATAGCTACAGTAACTAAACCTTAGCAGTCATCCCAGATCTATACCCAGAGAAACACCAGCTTGCTTTCCATACCCAACAGCATTAAAAAGCTAGTCTGAATACCTACTCAAAAAAGGTATTCACTGTTCTTGTAGCTCAGCATTCAGTTGCTTTTGTGCTTCACTATGTTTCCTATTACCTATTTCATTTTTTAATTGATTTTATGTTCCACATTTCTGTGGTTCCCCATTCTACACTAATTTATTCTGTGTCTTAAGCTGTTTTACCAATGAAACGATAATTGGAGCAGGGCTAATTTTCACAACTGACCTTATATCTGATTTTCTTAGATGATTAAAATTCTGAAGTAGCTTTCACTCACCTACAGGAATGTAAGTAATGATGGCTGTTGTGTTTTTTTAAAATGGACTTCCAGTGCATAAAACATTTTTCTGAAAGATGCATTTTAAGAGATTTTGTTTTGTTTACATATTTTTTTTTAGATTTTCTTCCCATGTTTACAGAAACCTAACACCTGTGCTTGAGGTTTATGCTAAAGCAAGTTTCACATATTGGTATCTTTGTAAAATCTGTCACGCAGCTGAAAGCCTTACCTTGTTTATGCAAACTGTTATTCAGACCACAATGAACCACATGAGCTATGGTTTTTGAAAAAAAAAAGTGCAGTATATTTTCAGTGTCTGGGGTTTCAGAATAGCTTATGGGCTGATATTTTTAAACAGTACAATATTGAAAAAATCCCCCCCCCCCATCCTAAGTCTTCACTCCAGAAAGGAGGCTGTCTGACAAAATTGTGGTTACTTTTTTAGTACAGTAATGATGAATAATAAATCGCTCCACCGTTGCTCAACAAATAAGAAAAGTCATCCACTGTACTTAACTAAAGGAAGCCAGTACTGTACATCTACAGTACCTCTCGTGTAGATAAAAGGTGGTAGAAGGGTGAGATGCTTGGGTAACCTGATCTGTGTGGTGTGATGGCTCAGACATCCAGCTGCAGAACCGATCAGAATCAGAAACGCCTTCATTTGTCAAGTTCTTTTCAGGTACAAGGAATTTACTCTGGTGGACTTGATGCAGCAAAAACATTCTACATATAGCACACATATCATGATCATAATCCCTCCTCTTAAGGGTGCTCAGGCTCTTTCCACATTTTGGCTGATTCCGTGCACCTGCCCTCAATCCTGCCCCACCTTATTTAAGGCGGGCGTTCTTGCTACTCCCGGCTCTGCATTGGAAGACGGGCGCCCAGAGGCCCGCCTACCACCAAGTCGCCCTATGTCCGCAGCTTGAGAGCATAGGCCGGGGTTCAGAGCACCTGGCCAAGTGATCCTGCTTTTATTCCCCGTCCCTTCCGGTTTTTAACTGTGTCTTGTCTTCATCTTGTTTGGATTACCCGGTTTAGGACTTTTGGACTTCACCCCAGATTCCCCCCCGGACTCCCTTGGACTTGTTTGCCATGGCCACGCCCCCCGAGCACCAGTTCACTGTCGTCATGCCCCGCTGTTTGTCAACCCCTCCTGATCCTCGTCTCTTCCCCGTTGTTCTACTCCACTCACTTCCAGATTATACCGTCTGCATAGGGTCCTGTTCTACACAACATTACAACACAGACACAAGACAATAGGCTTTATTAAGACAGTGCACATTTCATTAGGAATCCTGGCTAAACAAAAAAACAGCCCCAGGAAAGAAACTGTTCAAATACCGGGTTGTTCAGATTTTAATAGCGTCTCCCTGAGGAAGTTTATGGAACAGGTTAATGAAACCTGCTTAGGAAGGGGTCATCAGCAATCTTTCCCGTCCGCTTCTTTGTTCTGGAATTTCCAAAATGATTAATAGAGTTAGCAATGTTGTTTGAAGGTCACATGATTATGATGGTCCATCATATGCTGGAAGGGATCTTTCCCGGCTGAGTCACCGGCTGTTTTCCTTTTAGCAGCTTGCTGATGTAAACAGCGCTCTCCCAAGTGATGTGATGGAAGCTGATTCCTGGGATCCTTTAAGAAAGGAATAGACAACATTCTTTAAACATTAGACCACAACCCCCCAAGGACTGTTACCTTGAAATGGTGGAGTGGCTTGTGTGAACCCCCTGGTTATGGCTAGTGATCCTTGAAGCTTATCACTTAGCAAAAACATCTGAGACCTTCACCATTCAAATAAACAGCTCATCTAATAAAGATCCTCACCTGCATCGTAGATGTCAGGACCCACCCCTGTGCTCGTTACCTACGAGCGCCTGATGACCAGGCCACATTGCATGCACATGCAGCATTTCAGGGTACAGCACAAAACAGAGACAGCATTTAGGCCCAACATCCACAAAGCAAAGAGTGAGGGTGAAGAATCCCAACAGAATGGGCACTGGTAAATGCAACTGACTATTGGAACCTGGGGTGTCACTCCTGTGGTGAGGAAGGAATCAGACTTGGTGGAGGAGTTGGGAAGGTGCCAAGGAGATACTTGTCTCACCTTCTTAATTGAGGGTGGTCTGTTTGCTGCTCTGGAGTGGGCCTGCGAAGGTGTGAGGGGTTGTCAGTCACATACCCATGACTGGGTGCTGAGTTTGTCCCTGTGCACAAGAGTGTCTCTGTGTCTCAGAGGGGAAACACCTGACTTATTTGTGCCTATATGTGCCCAACATCAGTTCAGAGTATTGGAGGTTTGGCGGGTTTGGAATTACCAATTCTGTAATTCCACTGCGTGACTTTATCTCTCACATGGAGAAAGATGGTGATAGCTGGAGGGGAATAAAAAGAAGGCCTTCCTTACCTCAAGCAGAGCAGCAGATTGTTATTGAAAATGTGTGTTTAACATGGATTATCTTCATAGAACATCATGTTCTTAAATGCAAGGTTATTCGCAACTGTACCTGGAACTGGGGCACCTTTGGCTGAATAATTTTGCCAGGTTGAATGCTTTAGTCTGTCGGAAAGATCTGTAGCATGAAGGGAGTAATTGATGATGATAGGAGCTGTCAAGTCATAGAAGGAGGCCTTTTGAGATAAGCTCATGAACAGGTTTCTCAATTTTAAAAAAGCTGACTGACAATAGATAGATGGATCAAACTACTAAGAATCAAATGAGCAAATGGGTGGACTGGCTTCCTCTCATTGGTAGCCTTTATGTTCTAGATGCAGTTCTAGAATAGTGAGACCATTAGGAATGATGATGAAGTGTGATATTTAACCCTTCCAAAACCAAACCTGGGCCTAGTTATAATGATGGATTAAAACAGGTTTAAGAAGAATGTAAAAAGAACAAGAAAATATGTAATGCACTTTATTTCACAGAGGAAAAAAATATATTTATTCTCAAACATATGGATCTTCACATTCATGAGTTGGTTTATCTGCCTATTTTTTTCCCTGTTTATGCTCTGTGCGGGGTTCCTGTGTGCATCTGTGTCTTTTCCACCTCCCTATTTGCTTTAGCTTAAGATATTACAAGGAGATCATCAGATGGCTCCCTTAGTGGGCTCTGTAGTCAAATCCAAGCTAATGACCTCCTGTGTATTTACAGGATGGTTATGGTGAGCACCATCTGTCTTCTCCCTTCTAGTCCCTCTCCCTTTGGTGTTGCTCTGATCAACCAATCCTGTTGCTGTCCTACAGGGAATTGTGGGATTATTATTTCTTGTACTAATGACAAATCAAGCTGAACTACAATAAGCCTTGTAATAAACTCCCTGGCATCTGAGTAATATATAGGCATTTCTGCCACTTGGCTGATGGAGACTTGGCTCTTAGTTCTGCCAACATTATGACTGCTTTGGGACCTGACAGTCTCTATTCAATTTCCATTCCATGCTTTTAATATAAAACAAACGCATGCCAAGTACCTTCTAGTAGAGTCTTTATTCCCAGTAACCATTTTAATTGTTCTGTTCCCCTGCCCACATAAAAAGGATCACCATAGCAGTACTTGAAAGTCTCAA